ATAAATGAAAAGACATCCTGTGTTCATGGACTGGAAGAATTAATGTTGTTAAAATGTCTATACTACCCAGACCAATCCTCAGATTCAATGCAATCCCTATCAAAATTCCAGTGTTTTTCATAGAAACAGAAAAAAAACAATCCTAAAATTTGTATGGAACCACAAAAGACCCAGAATAGCCAAAGTAATCCTGAGAAAGAACAAAGATGAAGGTGTCACATGTCCTGATTTCAAACTATATTACAAAGCTATAATAATTGAAACAGTACGGTACTGGCATTAAAGACAGACAAACAAGTGGACCAGAATTGAGACCCCAGAAATAAACCCATGCGTATGGAGTCAATTAATATTTGACAGGGAAGCCAAGAATACTCAGTGGGGAAAAGATAGTCTCTTCAGTAAATGGTGTTAGGAAAACAGGATATTCACATGCAAAAGAATGAAACTGGACCCCTATCTTACACCACTCACAAAAATTAACTCAAAATGGACGTCTGAAACCATAAAACTCCTAGAAGAAAACATAGTAGAAAACTCCTTGAAATTGGTCTTGGCAATTATTTTTTGGATATGACACCAAAAGTACAAACACCAAAAGCAAAATTAAACAAGTGAAACTACATCAAACTAAAAGCTTCTTCACAGCAAAAGAAATAACTCACAAAATGAAAAGGCAACATATTGAATGGGAGAAAATACTTGCAAACTACATATCCGTTAAGGGGTTAATATCCAAAATGTCTAAGGAACTCATACAACTCAAGAGCAAATCATCATCATCATCCAATTTAAAAATGGGCAGAGGATCTGAATAGACATTTTTCCAAAAAGACACACAAATGGCCAACAGGTACATGAAAATGTGCTCAACATCGCTCATCATCAGGGAAATGCACATCAAAGCAATGAGGTATCACCTCACATCTGTGAGAACGGCTGTTATCAGAAAGATAAGAAATAGCAAGTGTTGGGAATTCCCTGGTGGTCCAGTGGTTAGGACTCCACGTTTTCACTGCTGAGGACGCAGGTTCGATCCCTGGCCAGGGAACTTAAGATCCCACAAGCTGTGTGGCACAGCCAAAAACAGAAAAAAAATAGCAAGTGGTGGTAAGGATGTGGAGAAAAGGGATCCCTTGTGCACTGTTGGTAGGAATGTAAATTGGTGCAGCCACTACGGAAAGTAGTCAAATAGAACTATCATATCCAGCAATTTCACGTCTGGGTATATATCCAAAGGAAATTAAATCACTGTGTCACAGAGATATCTGCACCCTCATGTTCATAGTAGCATTATTTGTAACAGACAAGACATGGAAAAAAGCTAAGTGTCTATCACCAGGTGAATGGATAAAGGAGTTGCAGTACATACATATGCAATAGAATATTATTTGGCCATTAAAAAGAAAATCCTGCCATTTGCAACATTATAGAAAAACCCTTGAGTGCATTATGGTAAGTGAATTAAGTCAGAGAGAGAAAGACAAATACCGTATGATCTCACATATATGTGTAACCTAAAAAACCTAAACTCATAGAATCAGAGTGTACAATTGTGTTTGCCAGGGTGGGGAGAATGGATGAAGGTGGTCAAAGGGTACAGATATAAGATATATTACTTGTGATATATACATACGTAAAATATCACACTGTACACCTTAAATGTACACAATGAATGTTACATATGTCAATTACATCTCAACAAAGCTGGGTGGGAGGGTGGGGAGAAAGAAAGACGTGAGGAGTGGGCTGGAGGAGAAGGATGGAGAAAGGAACTAAGCGCCTACTTTCAGAGGCCATTTCAGATTCTTTCCAGTACTCACTCTTTATATGCTGGGCTGGGTGCTATGTGACACACACTTGCCATCTACAACTAAGTGACAAGAGGATGAGAAAGATAAACTAGAAGCAAATTCGCAAATTCTGGCAATAACTTTTTCAAAGCCATTAATGTTACCAATAGTAAGTGATAATAACTGGGAAGACAAAAGACACAGCAAATGATAATGTTTGTCCTGCTTTGTGAGAAGCTGAGGATGAAATGTAGGATTACTACTTTATATTTTGCAAATCTTACTTTTACACAATGTCATATTATCAAAACTCTTAAGCCTTTTGAAAGTATGGCCAATCACATAAAAAGAATGACGGGCTCCACTCACAAAGGGGAAGGGACACTGTTTTAAGTCATTTGGATGAGATTTGCCAAAGACTCGTTCTGTGCTGTGCCCCAGTGATTCCAAGGACAGCAACCAACATTTCCTTACAAGTGAAATCAGATTAAAGAACATTAAGTCAGTTGTTTTTATGGGAAAATGAAACAAATGTACAGTGTGAGGAGTGTCGAGTATTCATTCATCCAACATTTACTAAACACATACGTGTGCCAAGCATTATTATGCTAGTTGAGCAAAGTAAATATTTAAAACAAATAATACAGCTTCTGCTTTCTGGGAACTAACAATCTAATGAGGAAAGTTGAGATGGAAATACTTATATGTTATAGAAGAAGGGTAGAGTATGCCAGGGAGGGCAGGAAGAATTTTACCTGTTTGCTTTGGATATTGAAATGTAATATAGGAGCAGAAGAGTTTATTGGGCGGGGGGAAGGCAGCTAGTTTCCCAAAGTATGTTCTGTAGAATGCTAACCTGCTAAATTTGGAGACAGGAGATAGTGTGGGTATCTCCATGGTTAAACACTACATATTATAGCCCTCCTGTGGAGATTCACTATGAACATTAGCAAATTAGCAGCTCTAAGAAGTCCACTATTAAAAACAAAAGCACAAACCTATCCAACTTGCAGTTCCCATTGTAATTACTCATGGAACCCTTTTTAATAGAATAGCACCTATAAACAACCTTGGGAACAAATTTTGGGGAAACAGGTTGTACGGCCGTCAATGGCACTAGACAGCTGCCAACACTGCAGGAGAGGATGAGCCCAAAGCCAGGAGAATCCCTTTGGGCTGATTTCATTAGTTGCTGCATAACATTTCCAGAGCTACTTAACAAAAGTAAGCAAAATAGGGATCTGTAATACAAGATCAAGCAAGAAAAACACAAACCCACAGATGACTCCTGAATCCTTATTTTGATCACAAACATTGGTCTTCTGAAATGTTAACTCTTACCAGAGATAAAATGTATGAGAGATGAGGATGCTGGGACATGACAGGCTATGGGTCTTAGCCTATGTCTGTGCAAACATGTAAATGTCAATTATTGGACCACTCCTGTAATATGATGGAGAAAAAAGCTACTTAAATGAAACCTCAGTTGCAGTTTCAAGAAATTCAAAGAGCCAAGCCCATCTAACCAAAAACTCATTCATACCAACCAGTCGACCCCATTTCTCACATTGTGCCAGGGTGCCTGGACTCTAACACAAACGCATTTACTATATTCTAGCTGATAAAGAACCTTTGCTCATTTCATTAACATTTATTTTAAATGTCCAGATGGCACACTAGATAGTAATGAAGTCACAGATTAGTAAAAGCTTCTCATGACCATCAACCATTCCTTATACACACAATTCTGATCTGGGCACTGCATTTCAGTTTGCTCAATGAGTTAGTGAGACAGGCTAGTTAGTATAGAGAAATTTGTTTCTTTTCTAAAAGATCCCACAGAAAAAGACCAACTGCTACAATCAATCAGATTCTGCACTGGTTTTAGGACAAGCGATGGCAGGTGAATGTTTCCGCTGATTTTTCTCCTCCTCTGGCCCTTGTCTGGCCCCCTTCACTGATGCTGCAAAATATCTGTTCCTTACACTGAACACAGCCAACTCACAATTTCCTGTGTATGCCTTATTTACAAGATGGATGAAATGCTGCATATTCTGTACTCCACTGGTATTATTCTCTCACAACATTCATTTGCCATCCCCTTGTATGTGCATGAGAAATGCAAAACAATTTAAATATTAGTCTAAGGTCAAACAAAGAAGCCCCCTCAAAATACATGTCCATCACAATGATTATTTTAAGACTCCTGCCACAGCTCCCTTTCTAGTGCGTCCTGCAGTGGACTAGAACACACTTTTCCAAGGTGGTGGCGTCTGTATGGAAATGTGGGGTGGAAATAGGCACTGCACCTGCTGTCAGAACACCTGCATATGCCCAACTGGACCTCTTGTCAAGTGTGTGGCCTCAGATGACTTCACAGCTCACTCTAAAATGAGAGGGTTGGACTGAATGATTTCTAAAGTTTCTTCTCATTCTAAAGATTCTTACTTTCATTCTTTGTGTGATCAAGTACCATTTCACTGTGGAGAGTTGTTTAAAAATGATTGATGGCTAAATTACAAAAACCTGTCAATTCCTCTAACGCTTGGATCACTCAGATTCCTATTTGCTAAGCTTATATCATCTTTGAAATTGTTGGCATACAACTATTATAGTTCTAACTTTCTTTGCAAATTCTAGCCAATAAGGCAAGATAATTGCATAACTGATATACTCAGTATACAGAATGCAGTCATGAGGCATGAGACATTTTTTATACACTGCCTTTTAAGGCCCATAGTACAAACTTCTGTCATTTAAAAGTGGCTCCTAAAATGCAGCCCAAGATTCAAGGGAAATCATCTCAGAAGCTTGCTGAACGCGCAGATTCCTGGGCTCCAGAATTTGCATTTTAACGCGCACTATGGCAACTCTTATACCACCGAAATTTTAGAAACACTGACTAAAGATTTCAACAGTAACTAGAAATTATTTTTGAAAATTAACTATTGAAAAAAATGGGGCACAGACCTGAATGTTAATCTGAGAGGGGTTATTTATTAGATAATTTACCAAATTTGAGGTTTTGAAAGTTGCATAAATTATTGTACCTTAAAATTTCCCAAACAAATCTCTTCCTAACTACACAGTAAGCAGCATATGAACGAGACTGCAAGTGAAGTCCATTCTTTAAAAATGTACTAAAATCTTTCAACTAAATGCATCAAAATGCAAATAAACAATCACATTTTTATGTCCTGGGATTAGGCCAGGATGGCGTTTATGTTTCTGAAGCAATCCACAAAGCCAAGATTGAGGTTTCAGAGGAAGGCACCAAGGCATCTGCAGCTACAGGTATGTTCCTAAGAGCACAGTGTCAGCAACACTCAGTCAGCTGCTTCCCCCTTATCTCCCTCTGTTAGATTTATCCAGTTCAACCTTCACACTTCTAAGCCTCCCCACTAAAAACCCAAGTCCAGATGTAGTAGAGCATTCTAAAAAAAGAAATGTTAACAGAACAAAGTTTTTGAAAACTGATGGGAGAAAAGAGAGAGCCATTTTGTAAAGGATTTGTAGCACGACCCCATAAACAAGGAATAGAGTCATTTTGAAAATTACCTTCAGGAAGGAATTTATTCCATGGAATATTTTGAAAATAGGACACAGTGTTGGCTAAGTGGTATCTTTTCCCTTTAATTTTCCCATTTGCACCCCATCATAACACTAAACAATGCTATATCATTAGGATGCTTTTATTTCTCCAAAAATCAAGGCATATAAGTGACTTCGTATCCAATTTTAATAGTGACTTTCCTCAAATGAAGAGAAAATACAACGGGATTCTATTCTTTATCTTTCCTGCAGCTCTGTTGTTACTGAAAAGGTCTCGGATTCCTATTTTTAAAGCAGATCGGCCATTCATCTTTTTCCTGAGAGAACCCAACACAGGTATTACAGTATTTTTTGATAGGAGTCACATAAATTAAATATTTATCAGCATCTCTCTAGCAACAAAGCCTCATTTGTCCACCCTAACCTAAAACAAGCATTCCTTCTAGCTGGTTTCCATGGTGCTTCAGAAGCTTCTCAGTTGCTATGTCATGTATCCTGAGAAAGGGGAATATTTCATAACTACTGAGCAAACTAATAACCTCGGTGGCTTTTTTGCCTTCTGTTTCTCTCAGCTCATTTATAGTTGATGTAGGTCTTTAAAAATTCAGGTTTCTACTTCTGGGGAGACTTAGAGTCATGAAAGTAAAATAAATGATAAATCTTTTTTCCCCATTGTTGCCAAGCTTTCTTGGCCTTGGAGGATGAAAGAATTCCTTCAGGCCACTAGAGTGTCCAAGCAGTCCTCTGGCTCTCAGCACCCCTAGTATCCTAGGGAACGCACCTGCATTTCTATAGTTTTCCTGTTGATCTTTCTCAAGCTTGCTGAAGTTACACAAAAATCAAATGTTTGCCCTAGTACTTGTTAGGTCGCACCACACAACCTCATCTTAATCCAAAGAGGGGATGGTACAGGCAGAGCCTTAGCACATCAGAAGGACAAGCAGAAGTCCTTTAAGCATCAACAACAGTGAACAAAGTATTCAAATTATTCCTCTTAATGTCGCCCCACCCTCTCTGGCAATTACTTATCAGCCTAGGAAAGAAAAAGAGATTCTCAGTAAAGAGTTGTTGGCAAGTCTAAACAATGTGTCAAAAAGAAATAGGATGGAATAAGTCTAACAAAATCAAGCAAAAGTGGATCTACTTTAACTAAACATCAGGCATTATTTTTATTTATGGAGAGAAAAAAAGTCAAGTTAGAATAATGAAAATTACGCATAGGTTTTACACAAATTGTTAAGGAAATACTGTCAACATCATTTTATCTGAGAATCATTTGCATACTGCTGTAACTTGTGCTAGAAATCAAAGAGACACTTGCGACAAAAAGGATGAAGATAATCATTCACTAGGAAATCATCTATTGGGGGATTATTTGGGGAGAAAAAGTCCATCAACAAAATATATCCTCTTAGTATTTCACCATGATCATCCCAACCCCATATTTATTAGATGAAAATGTCACTTATCACTCAGAACAGGCAACAGAGAGCCCTCTCTTAGAAAGGATACAGGTCAAAAAATGAAAGATGAAAAAAAAAAAGACAGGTTCTACTCCCTCAAGAAACAAAGAAACAGGACTAAACTTGAACAGAAAGGTCACTGTCAAAAGCTCATAGCCAATAAAGGTTGATGACAGTTAAGAGAGAACAGTTTCTCTTTTGGAATTCAACTGCATAAAATGATGTAAAACCTTTGAACTACCTAGTAAAGGACACACCACTGTTTCCGTGCTAAGAGTTTCCAGAACGGCCATAGTAAACAGAATGAAAATACAATCCAACACCAGTTCCATAATCCGCCGCACGTCGAAATATAGTCCTTGTGAATTTATTTACCTCTCTTTCTGGGAGGTACTTGCTCATAACACACAAGGCAAAGTGGCTATTCTTCTGGTGACGGGGTATTGAAAGGACAAATGAGTCTCAGCCTTCAGTACACCAAATTGACAAAGCTTACTGATAAGGGTAAATAATGACTCAATCAGTTGACAAATGGGACACATACAAGAACATTACAAAAAATGATCTTAACCTGAAAATTAAACTGTTGGAGAACATCATTTGTCCAGCCTACAGTCATCCATCCATTGATCTAAAGGGGCTAAAAGACATGATATTCCCCTCAAATGTACTCCCCCTCCCCTTTGCTTACAAAAATTCTGCAGTATTTCACTAATTCAACTAATATGCCCAGTTTCTTAAAATGTAAAAAGAACCTGCAAGAGATGAGATATTAAGCTTGAATTTTGATGGGCTTCAAAGCTTGTGACTAGGTTTTGGGATGAGGGCGTAGAGTATGGAGGCAGAGAGATTAAGGACAAAAAGAGGAGACAGAACAAACTGCTTCTTTCCAACTCCCTCGAGGGTTCATACCCCAAAATGTATTAAAGGTCAAGCAAGAGTCTAAAGGATTATTACCTCATGAGCAACCTGTGAAATGCAACTAAGAACTTTCTGATAAGGAAAGTGGCCAAATATTGGACTAGATTGAGTCCCTTTCCTAAATATTCTTGTTAAGTATTAACTTTTATCTGAATGACTTGTAGTCCCCCTCCTGTTAATCTCAGAATCTAAACATATATAATTTAAAACCAGACAGTATATTCTGGATTTTGTGTATCTCTTGTTGAATTTAGCAATGTGACTGCAGCTAATTACCTTAACAATTCCATTTACTAAATGATATCCTGCTTAAAGGTATTTTGTAGAGGTGAAAAAATGTTTAAAGAATTGCATATGAAAATACTATTTAACACTACGTTAAATGCTTTTTTTTCTTGACAGCATTTGTCTTCAGTATTGGGAGAGTTTCAAATCCCCTAAACTGAATTAACAGATCTCAAGCATGTTCTCCACTTTCATCGATGCTTTTCTTCATAAAAAGTTACAATTTCATTTTGCTATACCCTTGATTTTAAAAATGTTCTGCTAAAGTATAAAAAGATAAGGGTATGTGATTTTCAAATATTATGAACCTAAAAATACTTCAATTTTACCATAATTTTATAAATTTATTTCACCCTCTCTTAATCTAAATGTATTTTAGCCTTCTTTTCTACTGGTTATCCCAAAAGCACTACAAGGCACAGCAGTGATCTATGAATGGTGAGTGAGTCAGGTCACAGGGTCACGTCCTCAGTAAGGACACGTGAGGCCATGTTGGACTGAGGGCGGACAGTGAATAGTGTTCAGTTTTCCTTATCCTGGATAACTTAGGGAGAATGCAAAATGAGCAAAGTCATTTGAAACATGTTTCCTTTCCATTTAGCTTCTAAATAAAATGGAGAGTTGAAGTGTAATAGCAGAGCAGAACAAAGAGATCCCTGTTGAAACCCCAGTCTGTTGTGAGACTTCTGTAAGTATGGCATCAAGCTGCTAAATGCTAGACGTTTCAGAGTATCTGGTATACCCCAAACTTACAACTCCCTGACTGATGGCTTCACCTTAGTGCCATCCACAATCCTAGTGAGAAAGGAAAAGGGGTTGAAGGAAAGTAAGTAAGGAAACCAATAAAGTCCAAAGGCGTCTGCTTTTAAAACAGCTTTAAAGAGTCTGCCTATCCGCCACAGATACCATCATTTCCATTATCTAGGCAGAAACGGAGCATGTTGGAGTGGCCAACAAAATCTAAGAACATAGAGTAAAAAGACAATGCAGATTATGTAACACGTAATTACAGTTAGGTTTAACAAATGTGAACTTCAAGTGGTGTATTTTTCCAATGCTAAAAAGCAAGGCCTTTAAAATTCCATTATCTTAAGATGGTTTTAAATGATTACTTTAAATGTGATTATTTCCTAAACCACACAAGAGTAAAATAGAGCATTTATTGATGGAATAACAAAAGTGCTTTTCTTAAATATTCTTCAAAATACATTTGTACAACTTACAATAATATATCCAAAATAACTGTATATACAAAACATTGCCTAGTTTTAATGTATGTGCTTTTTTCCCCAAAAATTACAAAGTAACTTCTTTTTTATTTTTTTGGCAAAGTTCAACCTTAACAGAGGTGACAATTTTAAAGGTTGGTTTAAGAAAATAGAACCTGAGGGAAATTGACACGCAAGAGTCAATGACAAGCAAGAGATTTGGAGGAATATTTTTAGTTTGTTAAATAAAAATGTTTTTTAGAGTGGTACTTTTCACATTACAAAAATAAACCAAAATGAAGAAAAGGTCACTGTAAAATGATGGAAAAAGGATCTGTAGACTTGCTCTTAGTATTTCAAAAAGCCAACAATGCATGTCAAAAAATGAATGCAAGATCACAACAGTCTTGTATTTACTTTGTATTTGGAGAAGGTAGTGAAATAAGTGGCCACATTCTGTTTTCTTTTAATTGCTATTAATATGGTTGATCTGATTGGCTCTTCGATGAATTTCATCCAAGAAGTTCTCCAGTTGTTCTATTAGCATTCTTTTTTTAAACCTGTATAAAAAAATAAGTAATAGCACTCTCAATTTCTTTTTAACAAATAGTTATATATCAGTATACTTTTTTTTAAAGGAGAGAAACTGCCTTGGAAAGATTTTTCAAAGTGAGATGAAAATGAAAAATCAACTTTATGATATATAAAATCTCTTGGAAGATTAGCAAATTATTTTATCAGTAGAGTATTATAGTTTGTTCCTAAAACAAATAATCCAGGCCTAAGTACAATGGGAAAGAGGTTATTTCTTCCACAATCAAAAAGAAAAAGGGGGGAGAAAAAACCCTAATAAATACAAGGGTTATAAATATTCCAGCAATATGGGCTCCCAAAGCAATGACTCCAACAGCTTCTTATGCTCTTTGAACACTGAATGTTGAATGGAATGTGAATAAAATATGAATATAATTCCCCACAAAACGGAAGAAGAAATGAAATTTGGGCAATTGCATTTAAACTGTGGTGTTCTACTATTACAATTTGAAAACTAGCAAATCAAGGACAATTAGACATCTGTAGTATAGGATACAGCAAACAAAGTTCAAGTTGCAAGTTTTAAATTTTTGCGGTAATAAATATAGTAGACTAAAATTGCTTTTGTCTGCCTAAGTATTAATACTGCTGATGCTTTTCAGCATATCCAAAAACACTGCCCAATCTATACCTATTTCCTCTCTACTTGTACACTAATATGACTACCGACCATAATACTACACAACTCTCTAAAAGGTGGCAGAAGGAGGGCTTCCCTGGTGGCGCAGTGGTTGAGAGTCTGCCTGCTGATGCAGGGGATGCGGGTTTGGGCCCCGGTCCGGGAGGATCCCACATGCCGCGGAGCGGCTAGGCCCGTGAGCCATGGCCGCTGGACCTGCGCGTCCGGAGCCTGTGCTCCGCAACGGGAGAGGCCACAGCAGTGAGAGGCCTCCAAAAAAAAAAAAAAAAAAAAAAAAAAAAAAAAAAAAGGTGGCAGAAGTAGAATGCAGGCACCCGGAATATAGCTAAATCGATGATGAAGTTTGAGTTGGCAGAATGTTACATAAAGAGCAGAATGAGTTAAATACTCAATATCAATAATATGAAAAGTTATGGCCTTATCTTGAAACTTCAAAGTAACCTATGCTCTAGCCACTCATAGAAAAAAAAAATAGAATTAACAGCTTTATCTAAAAAAACCTTTACATGTAGGATGGAAGAAACTGGGGGACTAATTAAAGGGTGGGTATCTTGGAAGGTCAGATGAGACAAATGCTAAGTTTTCTTACATTACTAAAATTCTAAAAGTCTTGAAGAAGAAATAAAAAATTGCTTTTTTACTCACTGAACTCATACAACTATGCTTTCCAGTTAACTGCACTTCATAGTTACCATTTATAATCTTGATCCACATTCCTTGTACTAAAGTACATAATCCTGGGCTACTGAGGCAATCAGAATAAGGCCCATTTGTCCAGCTCTGGTCCCCTTAATTACATGTTTTCCCACATACAAGTGAACTGCATTCAAATATTGCCTTTCAAGATTACGTTTTATCACTAATATTAACTGTAGTTCAAATATACAAAGGAGAAAAATTAAAGACTATAACATATAAAGACACCAAAAAGCCACAGAGTAGGATAAACGAGAATTATGCAAGAATCTGTAATGTGTAGAGAGAAAGGGTCCATGATTTCTGAAGAATTTCTGTGTAGCTATTTTTTAAGTGAACTTCTTTCAATAAACTGAAAAAAAGAGAGAAGTACTTATATACAAAGGGGTGTGTCATATACATGCATAACAACACAAGTATAAAACAGATACTGTTAAAATACCAACTATAGAAAACTGGGGACTCACTGCATCATATAATGTACAACAGATTATTTACCTTGATGCTTCTTTAATGACATTTTGTAAAAATATTAGTCTTGTTTGTAAACTGCCTTGCACATGCTTCAGTAAAGTGAAGATCCTTTCATATTCTTAAAACGAGAAGCAAAAAGAAAAATTAAGTGGCTTTAATTTGCATTCTTATTCAATATTTTTCTATTACAGTTTACTATATCAAGATATACTAAGACAAAGCCAAAACTAGTCTACATAAAATTTTCACTGCTCATTAGAGATTTTATAATACACATATTTCATCATACATCAAAAAAGATAAAATAGCTTTTCAAACACTGCTTTTTTTTTTGGTAAAAGTTCTCAATAGGGTATCAAATATAAAGCTTAGAAGGATGAGTAAACAGTTTTTTGGTAGTGCCACAGAAAATTAAGAAGTGGTCTTTACAAAAATCCATCCTTATGACAAATTCTAAATTACAGCTAACCTTGGGAGTGGATAAAATAGAGCGGGGGAGAAAAAAAAAGTTAAGAGTTCTGTCTCACAGGAATAAAGACGCAGATGTAGAGAATGGACTTGAGGACACTAGGAGTGGGAAGGGTAAGCCGGGACGAAGTGAGAGAGTAGCATTGACATATATACACTACCAAATGTAAAATAGCTAGCTAGTGGGAAGTAGCTGCATAGCACAGGGAGATCAGCTCGGTGCTTTGTGACCACCTAGATGGGTGCGACAGGGAGGGTGGGAAGGAGACACAAGAGGGAGGGGATATGGGGATATATGTATACGTATAGCTGATTCACTTTGTTATAAAGCAGAAACTAACATACCATTGTAAAGCAATTATACTCCAATAAAGATGTTTAAAATATATATATATATATATATATATATACACGTCGTAATTGGTGGGAAAAAAAAGGATGCTGCCTCAGTTTCAAGTTTTCACATAAAACTTTGCCAAGGACTATAAGCTCCTAAATGGCCAGTACTGAGTCTTACCCACTTCTGGACCACCGCACAATCATAGCAGGTGATCTGCCAACATCTTTGGAATGAACGTCAATGATATTGAAACTTTATCTCACAAAGTTCTTCTGTACTCATATAATAGATAGCTTTCATAATTTTAGTTTTTTGGCCTAAACACATCCCTGATCACTATTATAGTTTAAATCTTAAAAGTTAAGATGGTAGGTAGGTACTATGCCTAGAACCTTACAAATACGAAGTCATTTAATAGTCACGACATCTGTCTGGGTTTGCTGTTACCTTAAAATTCCAGTTGCTGGTTGACAGAATGCTCAAGACTATGGGTTCCTGTCATGGTAGGAACCATGTGTGTCTGTGAGTTCCTGCTCTGCTCTCAGTCCCTCCTACTTACCACACCTAACACAGTACTTTGGATATAGCAGCTATTCAGTAAGTGTTTGTTGGCTGAATAAAGAACCAAATCTTATATAGCTCATATGTTGTTTAAGAGTGATCTAAAATCAGATCTATGCTTTAGTTTATTTGACTTTTTTTTTTGAGCACAAACAGAAATCAAATCTGATGTTTGTGTCTAATTATACATACTTCTTCCTGGCTTTCGGATCTCTTTCATTATTTGTGCTTTTAGTTCAGTGTTGACCTCTTCATGGCTTCTGCAATGCATCAATTTCTTCCCTTTGTTGAGTGAAGACGCTGGTAGATTCTCTTCAGGACATTGTTCTTTATCTCTTGGCTCCTCGTGATTTTCTAAAAATCCACCAACAGTGAGGTCATTAGTTCCTAAGTGGTCATGGCCGAGAGCCTCTGTATGATTGGTTGGTCGTTCCAGTAAATTGGCTGGAGAAGAAGATGCTGAAAATTCACTTTCCATAGCATTTGGTGTAATATCTGATGAAAGTTGGTCTGCAACATGATTTTCAACCACATCATCTATTGTCGAATCATTAGTGGCTTCTGAAACTAAAAATAAAAGAAAAAAAAATGATGAGAGCCAATTTCAAAGCACACAGTAAAGAAAACCTCAAAGAAACAATATTACAGCAAATCACAACTGATCTCCCTGACTGCTGCAAATTAACAATTTGATATGGTTTTTAAGCTTTGCCAAATATATGGTATATTTCAATGTGAAACATTCACAATATTTTAAAAACCTGTACAATTTTTGCCCTTAGGAATAAAAATAAAAGCCAGTTTCAAACAACTTTTAGTTCTCTGCTTTATTCTATGGCAATTTTATTGAATAAGTAGGTTTTTAATGCTTTAGGGAAATATATGTGATCAAGATTATCATGGTTATCCTTTTATTAGAGAGTACTAGTTCACTCCAACTTACCTCTACCTTGTAAGTTATTACCGTTCAGAGGCAAAAGTGAACACAGGGAGTTTAGGCTGATCAATATTCTGCAGCAACACACCACCAAACCTCCACAGCGCCCCCTTTTCTTATAACCATCCATATAGTCTTCATTACTTGAGCAGTGAAGAATAGCTGGTGCCCACTTTAGTTCACTAGACTACTAGACTTAAAAGCTTGCAAGCTTACTACTTAATATTAGATTATTGTACTTGCTCCTCACAG